AATTATCGCGCGCTGAAGCACAGCTGGCCAAAATGTGTCCATCAGGAGTGTGTAGAGCTCCTACATTACAATGTTGAATGCAATATTTTGTTGCATCTGTGCAGGTAAATTACAAAAAATATTTATCACAAAATCAGAAAATATTTAAAAATGTGGCAACCACCATTTTCGGGTCTACATTTAGCTAATGTTCGTGTAGGAGGTCGCAGATATTTACGCCGTTTAGTTTAGGCACACGTTATATTTAATGTAAAATATGAAATGAAAAATTTAATTGAGAAAGTATGAAATGTCACAGTGATGTAGGTCCTTAATGGACTATCAAATCATGCATCCTAACACTAAACTTATCAAATAAAACATTTTTTTTATAGTTTAATATTTTTGTAATTTTCCACAAAAAATAATTGAAAATGTAAATATAGGGTCCGAACTCAAAATATTAAAGGAACTGCAGCTTTAACAATATATTATATTAAATATTTATATATTAAATGTTGTAATAGACACACTTTTATAAAAAGTGCTTTTAAGGTTTCAAAATGAATCTTAACAGTACTTTTTTCACAAATTATTTCAAACAGTATGAAAAGTGTTGAAAAGTGTTTTTTTTTTGGTTTTACAGGTATATTATGGTCTAGTACTGCATAAAATTACATAGAAGCTCTTCAGATATTTGTAGGTCTATATAGGTCTATAGTTTTAAATTGATTCTTAAATATCATATGCTGATGAAAAAACTGTATTGGTAGGTATGTTCTTTATATATAGTTATAGTTTCCTCAAATTTGGTATTAAAGTTGTTTTTACAACATTGGCACATCTTCCACACAGGAGTAAGATATATATCATATATTATATATATGTATATCATATAAACGGACATAAATATACACTTCTAGTCAAAAAATACTTTTCAGAGTGAGTACTTCATGAGGATTGTTGAAGCTTTAACCAAACTGCAGATAAGTATTTTAATTATTTTTTTATTCATTTTATTAGTAGTAATAAAAATAAACTAATTTTAATAATAAAATATAATAATAATATAAATATGTTAATAATGTTATACTATTTTAATAAAGGTAGTTTTATTTTAATTTTACTTTGACGAGTTTGGGAGAGGATTTCGAAGTTCAATTTAAATAATATGAGCATATTATGAACTACTTATACATTAGACTATTTTTACTTACTTACTTAATTGGCCATTACAGACGTGAGTCATCCTTGACCGCGTCGAATAGCCTCCGCCAGCCAGCGGGATTAGTTGCTTGCTGTCGACAGTTGCTAGTACCAAGCGCCCACTAATTGGACTATCTTTATATTAAATTAATATAAACACATATTAATGTTAATATATATAATATATATATAATATATATTTTTTTATCAAAATTGCCAATAATACTATATAATGAAATAAGTATCCATTTCTTGGTAACCGTTGAATCTTATACCATTAGCCACAACTATTTTTATTAACTGTCATGTTTTAGGACATTGGCTATTTTTTGTCTGTTCTTATCTACTCAGCTGACAGGTTTTTTATCAATAAAATATTATGACGGAGCCTTTAGTATATCTAAGCAGTGAACATTTTTTCATGCCATATCTTTTCTTGCCGACTGTTATGTTTTATAATATTTTGTATAACTTTTTCTGGATACTGTCTATTTATCTGGTTGATGAATAGTACACATTATTAATTGATGGAACCGTGTTGTATATACAATTACATATCGTCTAAAGAAGTCCGTTTTATTTCCTTCAGGTATTTATAACCAGTTAGCACTTTACAATTGCTAATACGATAACTCTCCTACATCTAGCAATCGAAAATCTATGTAATACTTTTCGTATCCTAAATTCCATATTCATTATTTCCGTCCGGATATTTCCTTTTGGAATGTCTTCGCTAGTTAACGATATAAATTGATTAAACTATTAAGCGTTTATAATTTTTTATTATATAGAGAAGATTTTCGTATTCTATTCAAGTATGTTCAAATAGCAAAATATTTTTCATCCCTTCTATGACCCGATGAATATCTTAGCTTTCGCACTCTAGAATGTAAATTCCATATCTCTTTTCACTGACTTTTGGGTTTTTAGTCAACTTGGCTTTAAGAATAAACCATATAAGTTAATTCCAATGGTATAGTAAACAATAACATAGCTAGAGCTGTTCTTTGATGAAAGATCTTTTCAAAGTTTTTCAACATATTAATTTTTGAATTATATATGAGTTTTATTGAAAATAATTATTAATATAATTTTAAAACTTTCTATAATAACATTCACTATTTATTTATACTAGGGCAGTATGCTTTTGGTAAAGAATTTAGCACTATTGACATTCGCTCCAAATAAATTTTTATTCACATGAAAGAGCTATTAAAACTCAACTTTCATTCGAAGCCAATATGTAGGTAGTATAGTTTTTTATTTGAACTTCGTGATAAGCTCCAGTTGTGTAAGGTAATAAATTGATGACTACAGGATGTCATGATGTAAAGGATTAAGTGAATGTAAACAATGCCATCTATACGTCAACAACTGAATGACATGAAATCGTAATTATCGAAGCGTGATTAAAATTTAATTGTGTGCTGAGCACATATGAAACCTTTTCCACCCAATACTTTTTATATACTTTAAACTGATATAAAAATATAGTACTGGATGAGCAGCATTTAAATTTGACAACATATACCAAGGAAATATATATGTCAGTAGTTAAAATATATAATAAAAATATATATTTATTAATTTATTCAAACATATTCAAACAGGATATTAATTTATGCAACATTTGTTTGGCATTTAGTTTTCATCCTTTTTTGTTTGTTATGGTTGAATGTGTTTATAGAAATTTCTATAAATTTGTAAATAATTAAATATTCAATATTTATATCAATCAATTTTTTGAATTCTCAAATAAATTCATAAAAACACTCATAATTTTTTCATAAAGTTTTTGTCAAGAGTAATCAGCGTTGCAACCACAAAATTTAATTATATATAATTTATTGCACTTATGAATTAATTAAACACTCAATCCAAGTACAATTTTGCTTTGGTTTATTGAAAGTTTAGTTTTTTAATGAAAATAATAATTTAAAAATAATTAAAATAATGTTGCATATTTTAATTTCAGTAAGTTCAGTAAAGAATTAAGCAAAAACTCAAACACTACCAATTGAAATGTTTATGCTCGAAATATTTGAATTGGAATTTGCTGGAAATTTACACTAAGAGAATGCACTGATCCTTAAATAAGCTGAACATAGATTAAGATTTGCTTAAAAATTACACTAAATATGTACACTAATCCTCAAATGACCTAACAAAGAGTTAATATTTACCTAATAGTAATACGAAATAAGTACACTAATCCTTAAATTAGCTGACCTTTCATTGGAAATTACCTTAAACTTATATTTAATAAGGGCACTAAATCTTAAATTTGTTAATCTTAGATTAAAATTCAGATAAAAGTTATAGTAAATGGTTAAATGGGATATTAATCCTTAGACTAACTAGAGGGTAATTTAATTAGTAGAATGGCTTAGTCAAATAGTTTAGTAGAGGTGTTCAGGGATATCGACGATTTGTTAAGGATTAATAAATTTGTAAAAACTTTCTTATAAGTTAGGCTGTGAAAGTTTCTATTGGGATATACTTAAGCCTGAAACGTGTTGTGTAACCATTACCAGATATATTATACTACCTCAATGCATTGCTTCAAAAATCATTATTTTAAACAAGATAGTTTTGATAGGTTTTTGACTTTATAATAATTTTATATATTGTCCCGATTTTCTATATATAAACAATAAACGCAAAAAAATCGAAAGATTAGTTCAATTAATATCTATAATAGAACAAAAGTATTGCTTAGTTTTGTTTGAGATAATACCAATAAACCGTATTTAATTTTAAATTGTACAATCATTATTTGTTAAAGTATAGCAGCATACTCCCGGCACAAATAAAATCCAGACCACAGTAAAGAATGTGACTTATAGTTTCATTTCCGCCAAGACTGAGACTATATTTTTTATATGTTTCCTGTAAGTATTAAGTTATCTCATTTTACTCTATTAATGTTCATCATACAATATATTTTGTTACCGCAGGCACAGCTATCTCAATGAAAAGCTAGTTCAAACAATGGTTTCGTCTCAAGTCAGAAATAGGTTACTTTCAGTTCTATTTCATTGGTGTCTTTTTTACTAATGAAGACAATTCATCCATAAATCAATTGAGTACTTACTTGTGGTTCATTTAATATCATTAGAAGTTCAGGTTTACAGATTTAATAGCTAATGCAATTATTGTGAGACCCTCTATGAATTCTTTGCCGTTACCAGCGTTACTAGGTATCTTGGCAATGCTACCTGTTTATATTTGTATATTTGTTTTCTTAAATCCAAAAAGACACGATTTTTAAGAAGTGCAGAGGAAGCGCAAACGAACTAATTGTGTATTGATTCGTATATATAACTTCTCGGAATTATTTCTGCAGTATATAAGTAAAAACAAACAATATATAAGTAGCTTTTCCATTAATTTTTTAGTTGGTAATATTTAAATATATCTAAAGAAAACAAAATTTTAGAACGCTTAAAATTTATATTCCCAGCCTTGTTCAAGATACAGTGGAAGTCCTACAATTTATAGGACACTACCAAATAGGAGTTATTCACAGACAAAGTCTTTAAATTCCCAATTAAGATTTAATCTAATTTAAATAGAATTTTGCTAAATTTATAAGTAGTGCATAATTCTTATGTCAACTTTAGTTAATATTTTATTAAAATAAAAAAAATTATATTTTTTTAAGTGTGTGAAAATTTGTCATAGATATAAACAATTATAGAGTTGAGATATCTTTTTAAAAGTTATTGCAAAATTTTAAATTATATTTGTGTAATCAAAATTAAATAAAAAATATACAATAATGAAATTTCATATATATATTTTAATATACATTTTCTTATGCATCCTTTTAGTAAGTATAATTTAGATAAAGTATTATTTTTACTTCAGTAATAATGATTATATCAACAGCCAACAACAGGCAATGTAAAACTCACCGATACTGCATATACAGCGGTAATACCTAATATATATAGTAATTTTCTTTTTTTTTACTTTACTAATAATGAGTATCTCGGTAGTTACCAATAGGCGTTGAAACAACACTCATCATTAATGAAAATACAGAGGTAAGTACATCTCGATGAAGTTTTTCTTAAGTGACCTAAAAATTATATAAAATTTTATTTTAATATCGTATATACTGCTTTATTAAAAGAAATTGTCAATACTATATCATATGTACTAATTACTTTATTCTTAGCTGTCAGAACATTATAGACCAGTTGGAAAATCAGATTATGTATCTGCACATGGGGAATGCTTTGAAAAAATCAAACCTGAGGTGGAATACAGCTTAAGTTATTTATTGATGAAATTTCCAAGGGATGAAAGTAGCGACTGTTATATAAAATGTCTTATGGATTATTGGAATTTTTACGATCCAGTAATTCCACATCGCTCAGTTAAACGTTTGTGCAAACAGCTTACTTTTTGGTATCCAAACTATGTAGAAGAATGCAATAATTCGATTGAGGAATGCATTAGCAAATATCCTGATGAAGATAGCTTATTTGAATCTTGCTCTTGGATTGGCAATGTTACTAAATGCTTTCTGAAGCAATATAGAAAATCATTGTTATTAACATTTATTATATAACTCTACAACAAAAATTCATGCTAAAAATCATTAACAAGTTTTAACGTAAAAAAAACGCCAAACGTCACAAATGTCAGATAAGAGAAGAGGTTAAAAATAAATACGATATTATGCATATATGTTAAATAATGAGGTGTTAAGCTGAAAACAAGACTCTATAGAGGAAATATGAAACCAGTTCTTTTAAGTTCAGTGAGGCTTAATTCAGCTGAAAGAGCATACTTAATCTAGTTTTATTGTCAACTCCCTAACAATTCAAGTCTTCGAAAACGGAGATATGTGTGCGCTATTCTTCGAGTGTGAACTTTCGAGAAACTTGCAACGAGTTTGCAAATGTAGTAAAATTAACATACAAAGTCGTTAAAGACTTTAGTACGGATTTAGTCTTTAGTGTATCTTTGACGACCAACAACGGTAACGCCGCAAACGTAAATACTGAAATGAAATTCACATTGATTTTGCTTTTTGCCGTTGCAGCTGTGGTAAGTGAAACTGCAATTTTTTTTAAAAAAATAATAATAATTTTAAAATAATTTAAAATAAATTTTAAACATTTTTAACTTAACACTTTTTTCATCACAAACACTATGGGCCGATAACACACTTGATATCAAAACTAACTTAAGTGTAACTTAATTGGTATGACTTAAGTCAGAATTGATTGTAAAATCCGCTCTAAATTGCTCCTTTATTTGATCTTAACTGAACTAACTTTAATTTTTTCTTTTAGGCTAATGCAAAGTTTGAGGTGCGGAATAAGGAAGATGCATTGAAAGCACATGAAGAATGTCTTGAAGACAATACAGTCCCTGATGAGATCTATGAAAAATTTTTGAATTATGAATTTCCCGAACATAAGCGCACCAATTGCTACATAAAATGCTTTGTCGAAAAAATGGGTTTGTTTACTGAGCTCAAAGGCTTTGATGAGAACGCAATCATAACACAATTCACATATAAAAACTTTAAGAATCTAGAATCAGTACGTCATGGACTCGAGAAGTGTATTGATCATAATGAATGGGAATCAGATACCTGCACTTGGGCAAACCGTGTATTCTCGTGTTGGTTGAAAATAAATCGTCATGTTGTGCGTAAAATCTATGGTGATGCTTAAATTTTTAAGTTAAAATATATACACAAAAATAAAAAATTAATTATATAGTGGTAGACATATGTGCTAATAATAAAAACACTCTATCAACTGAATGTGATATTTTCTAATTCAATTAAAATAAACTTGAATGCTTAGAGTGTTGGCGTATTTTTCGAAATGGTTTGGAAGATTTTCATTAATTAATGTGTTTTTTCAGTTAATTTTTATTAATTTTATTTTTATCTTATATATTATATATGCAATGTTGTGTATATCAAACACTTGCTATTAATACTAATTCGTTTATTTAGCTCTCATTTTTTGGATGAGTCGTCAGTTTCATTGTTGACTGTATTATCTAAGTTATTATTGTTTATGGCTGCAATATCTAAATTTTTTAATGGTGATTCAGTACGTGAAGCTGGATCAATATTGTAGTTTAAATTCTCTATACATAAATACTCTTCATACATCCAACTGCATGTATCTGTTTTATCAATTTTTTCTTTCAATGCCTTACATACAAAGGCTTCTTGTTGCTCATATTTGACTGGACCAAAAGCCTTTATCCAATTTTCAAAATTCCATTCATAAGCTGGTGTATAGAAATTCATTTTATCAGCCAAACATTTAAAGAGACATGGAATTTCCTCAACAGCAGGGAAATATCCATATCTTTGTAGTTGTTCCATGCTAGCATTCAAATTAGTGGCACAGTTTAGTAAAGTTGTGTATGTTTCACGTGTTTGTACTTCAGCCTATAATAATATTGCATTTAGCAATTAAATTTTATACTAATTGAAATAAATATTCATACCAGCTTTAAGCACTTAAGACCTTTGTAAGCAAATTCACAAGCATCATCGTACCTGCGATCCAACTCAAAGCGACAATAGTTATACATATCACCGCCAAGTTCTTCAACTAATTGTGCCTTATTCCACTTATTCTCTTCAATATTAAACCAATTCCTTTCATGTGCTATACAACGTGTGAAACAAGGTATTTCCTCATCTGTCCAGTTTTTGTAACGTGCCACCTTCAGCAGCTCTTCCTTTGCAACGTTGCCACTGGCTCGGCTCAAGCATTTACGTAGAATGGCTGTGTCTCTGTCGTTTTGTTCAAAACAGTTAATCTATATGGATTATACAATTCCATTAGAAAAATCACTTTTTAATTGAAAAACAAAATATAATAATATTTACTTTAAACACAAAAATTCCAAAGAACAACAGAATAACACAAATACTTTTCATTTTACAGAATCCGCACTTTAAGTGTCTTTATCTTCTCAATTTTAAAACAAAACTGTTTTGTGTTCTTACTCGGCATACGGCATAATTCTATACGCTTATCAACAGTCCATTCAATTAAAATACAGCCTTAGCCGCGGCTTATCATTTACATATTTCATTACAAGTAATAAGTTTTAGCTCGTAAAAGTTGAGTACATATATAGTTTCTTGTCAGTATTTACCTGCCACATATATCACTTTGAACTTAGGTTGTAGTCGTTAAAATTTTTCATAAATCATAAGTTAATTGCGATGTTCATAAAAACAAGGTTGACAGATGGATATTGTTATTTACATAAAGCATTTTCAATCATATACATTGTATGATATACTCTATGCAAGTAGATAGAGGTTATCACTTCAATATTATTATTTTTTCTAAAATTTGGAAAAGTGTCATTGCACTTGCAACTTCTTACTCATATACATTATAAAAAAATATGAATGCCTTGATTCATCCAAAAAACACCATTGATTTGTAGTTGGTTCTTATGTAAATCCGATTTTTGAGGTCAAGGTTGATTTTAAGAAGAAAACAAAAGATAACGTTCGTTAATATAAATTTTGAGTTTTGGACTGATATGAGGAACACAGAAGAGGAATGGTCATTGTTTTACACTATATACTTTAATAAAGTTATAATATACTTATTACATTATCTTTTCATCAATTATAATCACTTATAACTTAATAAAAAATAGTGCAACATAAATCTTATAATTATTTTCCAGATAGAGTAAAAACTATCGGGTTTGGGTATCGGGTTTAATCTAGCATCATTCTTTCCCATGTAATTTTGGGTTTTTCTCACTATCTGTAGTCGTACATATTCCACTGTAGTACTCTATATTCAATTCATCGCCAAAGAATTAATAAAAATATATCGTGAATAAAAAATTGATAATAGATAAGAGAAGATAATATCTTCCTTATGCGTTTTCAATTTTTTATGTTATACCGATATAATATCAACTGATATTAGCCCAAAATGAGTATATAAGATCTTCAAAAATATAAATATTTCCTCTATAATTCAGTTATTTACCAGAATTCTAAAATAGATACAATTTTAGTAGGTCAATATATATAACATTGTGATGAAAAAATAAGATGAACGTGCTATAACTTTTAAACCTTCATTTATTTTTTTAAATTTATTTTATAGCACATAAACTCTCAATTTCCGATATAACGTACTTATACGAACGTTTTTTCCAATCCTGAAAACAATTGCTAAAATCGAAGTGACCATCAAGGCACACAGTATTCGGATTTCGTCTTTTCAATTGTGACGAAATGATGTTTCAAGAAATCACACAGTGATAAATTAAGCGAATACTGTAGAACGATACTTGTTGAAATTTTGACAAAGATGTCACAGAAAAGAAGACAAAGAAGAAGAAGAACTACTACAGAGTAGGATGGTGAATTTTTGTTGTATAGAAACTAAGATTTGTCTGTTTTTTTTGTCATCTTATTGAGAATAGTTTTACTTAAATGTCGCATAACGCTCAAATAATATTCATTATTAATAGTTTATCCCGACGAAAAAAATTGTATAAAGCACTACATCACGATAATTGCAGACAACTCTTTACTTGATCATTAATTATGACTCTAAGTCGATCTTTTAGATCTTGGCTCTCGTTTCGCATGATGTATTCTTAATTGGACGACTGTTTCTGGATGGTTTGCATAGAAACAAGTCCCATCTTCAGCTAACACACATTTAATTTCATACTGATAATGGGAAAGCGTTGTTTGAAGGACTTCAACGTATCATTGTTTTTTAAAAATTTCACTCTTTTCAGCACTAAACAAGATTTCATTATTTTCAGTAAAATTAAAAATTAACAGAATCAACGAAATTTCTTATTTTTAAATGAAAACTTTTTATTACAAAATCGTTGGTTTCCTTGATTCGCTGTTCATCAGTTAACGTTGATAGTCGTCCAAGTCGTCCAATGTATTCTTAACTGCGATCTTAGTTTGTATCAGGTTGGAATGCCAGCCTTCCATACCGAAACCCACTTGAGCACTAATAATAGCCCATTGTGATAAGTCATATTGATCTTAATGATAACTTGAACTACAATGACATCATAAAACATCTGCTTTACATCTATTATCTTCAGACTCTTGGAGTTAAAACACTAAAAGAACATATCCTCTGACCTTACTTTAGTCAAGCATCAGTATATTATGCACTGAAATGTATGGTGCAATAAACAGACACGATATGAGTGCTTTTAATGCCCTATCTTTAGTCATTTCTCAATGCCTGGTTAAGAACGTAAAAATCTCACACAATGGATTTCTATAGTTTCGTTATAATAAACAATGTATTGGAAAATTTTTAAGCATAGCTGTAGACTTATGCCATGTGATATCAGACGATTAAACAAGTAAAAAATGCAAGTCAGTATAAGATAATTAAAGAAGATTAAATAAAGAAAAACAACACTTACTTCTTTACAAGAATTTTGTAAAAAATTAAATGATTAATAGTTCTCTATTATATATGTATTATTTGGTATGCGAGAAGCTCCAAAATCAAATAAAGTTGTAGAATTATCAAAAAAAGTAATACATTTTTTTAATTTTTAATTATTTTTGTGTTGTTAATTTTTTAACAATATTAAAATGTATTTTAATAAAATGTATTATTAATAAAGTTTTTCAGGCAGTTCTTTCTAAAATTCAACATCCTTTAAGTAAACATTAATTTAATTCTTCTAATTACAAGGGGAATTAAATGCACTGCACATTTAAATCATTAAAAGAACACACATGTATATTTCTTTAGAAACTTTATTTCCAATATTTTACTCCTCCTTAGATAATACAAAACAAGTGAACTCCTGATACATCCAAGCGCAAGAATTACGGTTTCTTCTTCTGCTTAAAGCCTTACAGCTTTCAATATTTGCAAACGCCTTTGGCACTGCCAAATGTCTGCGCATCTCATCAATTCTCCATTGTCTACGTCTTATATCATATATTCCTAAACTATCCATAAAACATTTTGTGTAACACGGAAGAGGTTCCACCACCGGAAACCGTGAGAACTCCTTTAAACGTTGTCTATCGTGATCATTAAATTTAAGTAGACATTGCCTCATAGCGTTTCTAGCTACATCACTGAGTAGTTCAATGCCATCTATTTGTATAAGTGGATCATTTTCCAACTGAATAGAATAGTGATGTTAAAAATTACCCTGATTTCTTTATATTTATTACGCAAACTTACTTTAACCAAACAATGAAAACCATTATAGGCCACTTCACAACTATTACGTCCCGTCCACATGTGACTGCTGCATGCGTTATAAGCAGGTTCACTGAACTTTCGTATACTGTTTTCTCTATTGAATCCGGCAGTTTCATTATAAATATCATACATTTTGCTAATATAGCATTTGGTGAAGCAAGGAATTTCTTCATTCTGTTCTGACCACGTTTTATATCGTTGAAGACGCTCTGCATTTTCGTGAGTTAGACCACCAAATCTTTCTAGGCATTCATTTATAACTCGTCCCTCCGCTGTCGTTGACTTTATAGCAGCATTGCACTATTAAAATATATTCAGTTTATTAAATTAAATTTTAATTATAAATTTAATAAAGTTTTTATTCACCACTGAAATTGCAATTGAGAGCAAAAGTAATATATATTCCATCTTCATCTTCATTTTCGTTTCGATTTGGTTTTATTGGAGCATTTAGATGGCGAGACTTGCTTTTTCGAGGCTTAATCAATCCAAACTGAATAACACTCGAATGGATTGATTGAAACGAATTTTTTGATTAGACAGTCTTTTTTAATGATTTTCGTTGAGTTAAAGTAATTATCAGCAAAAATTACTTTTACACAATGTTTCTTTTATTGATAACCTAATTTCTGTATGAATTTTGAGTGAAACCTCAAGTTCATTCTCAAGTCTGTTATATAATACAATTTTGCTGATAGCACTTATATTACAAACGATTGATAGGAAAGCCCATTTTGCATTATACAGAGTCCGCAAATTGCTTTCGATTTTTTCAGAAGTCTAAATAAATACTTCACTTCATCTAAATTTAAATGAATATTTTTGTTGTGATTATCTCTAAAATCATTTAAAGTTTTTTTGCTCAGAATACTCGTGCCGGTTTACGAGTTCATCGATGTTTGCTCTTGGACAGCCTATTTTAGTAATTCAAATAACTGATTAGAAAACTGTATGGGTAGATGGCGCTAAAAATTAGCACACATGTCACTAATCTTAACCAGTGTTTCTCAATGGGAGGCGTATGCCCAATGTAGGTCTGTGTTGCGGGGAATTTAGTTAATTCATTGTGGAGGGGGAGAGTTGTTTATTTAAGAATAATGATTATTTTTCAAATTTATATAGTGGCAGAAAAACATGATTGGTTATGGGAAACAATAACGTTCGACTGATCTATTAAACTCTCT